ATTTATTTTGGAGAATACCTTCGGAATTTGATTCTTCAGCTTTTCCATGGATCATTTGGTATATTTGGAAAGCAAGGAATAAAAAAATCTTTGATAATATAGACAAAGATCCTTTAGAGGTTTTACGTTTAGCGGAAAAAGAGGCACAATTGTGGCACTCTGCCCAAATCGTGCTTCATAATGAACAACTGGGTTCTGTGGATGTGGTAAATCGATCGCAAGGGAGGGATATCTCACTTGATTCGAATTACTCAGGTTACCGGTGTTTTGTGGATGGATCGTGGAAAGAGAGTGATAAGTTCTCCGGCACATGATGGTTTTGTACATCATCAAATGGAGAGCCGCCAACCATGGGAGCTGCCAACCTTCGTAGAAGTCTATCCCCCCTACATACAGAGGTCGAAGCCCTTCTCTGGGCGATAAAGTGTATGATCGGTGCAGACAACCAAGACGTAACTTTATTTACACACTGTTCTGACATGGTGAAGATGGTGTCTTCGCCAACTGAATGGCCGGCCTTCTCAGTGTATATGGAGGAATTTCAGAGCGACAAGGTGGAGTTTACAAACTTTTCTTTATCTTTAATTTCTCGTCGAGCAAATGTAAAAGCAGATAATCTGGCACGAAAAATTCGTACCGAACCGCTTCATGTCACATATGTAAACAATATTCCTCAGGAATGACTCTTTTGAGCTCTAAGTAATTTCGGATGACAAAAAAAAAAGGCTGATTCAATTTAACTTAGGTTTGGGCCAGGTCTATTACAAGAGAAACAAGAGACTGTTTTGCCAATGAATCCGCATCAGAATTCTGCAAACGGGGAATGAAACTAAACAAAATAACATCAAAGGTATAAGATAAATTCAGGATATCGAAGAGAATCCCATGAAGCTCCGATTTTAAAGCTTTGACTAGCTGTGCTAAGTCAGAAGCGAGAAAGAGATGTGAAAAACCCAGATTAACATATATAAAATATGTTTTTGCTCATTTGGACCACCTTGCTTTTTTATTAAATTTAATCATTATCACAAATTATTTAAATTTCTCTTTAATTTTTAACATATATAGATATAATTAAGCAAAAAAATTAATAAATATGAATATGTTTTACCTTTGATCTCCTAATTTTATTATGGATTATATGGATATAATATGTAAAGCTTATTTTCGAGGGAAAGTCATGAGATTGGGAAGATCTACCTTCTGATGAGATCCAAGGCCGATATCAACCCCAATTATCAACTCGAACCCACATAAATTTTAAATAACAAACCTGAACTATGTAATCGTTAGCCAATTTTAACATATACCTGTTATTAAATAATATAACAAACCTGAATTATTTAACCTTTAGCCAATTGAATAAAATGAATGATTCAAATATAAAAGAACAGATAATTACGACTTTACAATTCTAATCGACATTAACAAATACAAAAAAAACTATGTTGAAATTGGATAACAGTTAGATAGTTTAGGTTTGTTTTTTAAAAATGGTCTGAGTTCGGGTTGATAAGTGCTGGGGTCAGAGTTTGGGTTGAAAAAAGCTGCAGAAAAATAGTTGGAGTTGATTTTGGCCGTTTTCCCGATCCAAGGATCGTGAATCAGTAAACAAGAGACTCTATGATGATATATGATGTATGATATATATATTTCCAGAATAAAATATTTTATGTAAATTAAGAAAAAGTAGTGGCGTATATTTATGTCATACCACCATGAATAAAAAAAGAACAAAATTTATTTTTTAGCAATTCACAAAAGTATTTCGAAAAGGAACATAAAAGTTAATATTTTAAAAAATTATTTTCAAAAAACTATATTAATAATCGAACATATTACTTTAATACAAATTTTATTTTTATTCAGAATTAATATTAAATATGTAACCCACGCATTGCGTGGGCAGCTTTCTAGTTAATTGATACGTTGATGATTAATTCTTAGTGTCTAAATGTGATTGATATGGTGATATAAGTGTGATTCTATAATCCACTATATGTAGCTTGAGGAACTACTGTACAAGTTCTCGTAGTTCATTAGAGATCGTGGTCAAACATCATTTTTAAAAATGCCTTACAACTTTCGGATGTTCAAAATAGTCTTAGTTTTTCTCTGTCAAAAAAGGTTTTTTGACCATCGAAAACAACAATAGGTTGAAAAGTGTAAGTGTAACGTCATGTTTGTTTTGTAGTGAATTTATACCTGTCCTTTCCCTTTATTGGAAAGTTTTAGTACATATATTATCATTGAATTAAGTCTTGAGAATCTCATTTTTTAATATATAGGACTACTACAAAGTTCTGAATTGAAAATTACGAATAAAATCCGATTAAGAAAAAGACGAATATTTAGAGGTGAAAGTTGATTTCTTTTTTTTTTTAATTCAATAAATCTTTTGCATTATGACGATTTGTATGAGATTTTGAATCTCAATATACAACCATGTTGAGACTATAATCATGACACTCAATTATAGAATCCATGAACTAGTATCTTTTTTTTTTTTTTTTTCATCACCATGAACTATATAGTATCTACGTTATGTTTGTTTTCTGTTTCGTAAAACCGGTTCGTATGAGAGAATAAGGCAAGATTTTATTTATAGGGAGGAATATTTAGATCCACAATTCAAAAGAGGGATAAGATTGTACGGAAATATAAGAATACATGGAAATATTCCACAAAAATTTGATGCAATCTAGAATCTTCTATATTTATCCGATATTATGCAAAAAATCTTAAAGAAAATTAACAAAATTGTTTATAAGAATTTCTCACAAAAAGAATAATCTTTGTACGCCTAAAGACTCATAAGACCCAAACCCAACCCCGGTCTGGCCTAACTCGGCATAACGGTGGCAACGCTCTCACTCCTACACGGCTACACCATAATGTCTTCTTCCCAAAGCTACTAAACCTTGTAGTGAGTTCTTAACTAGTGGAAAATTTGTCACTCTTTCAGTACGGGATAAAATACTCATTTTAAATACTTAATCAAAATTACATGATTTATACGTTTCCAAGCTATCCAATTTAGATACTCATTTTCTCATTCACATTAACTTTGATTTTGAAATGTAAATACACTATCTTATAGTGTTTATTATAAGAAATCCAATGACTCCAAGATATTGTCATTCTGGTGATGGAATTCACCGAAAAAATTGTCAAACATTATTTGACCGAAGCCACTTTATCAACAATTGAGTTCCAACAATCCTCTACATGAATAGAAATGATTCTAAACATATGACGACTGTACTAGTCCGATAAACTAGATTGACTCAACTAACACGATTGACAGAATTTCGAAAGTGAGCGAACAATCATTGTGTATAAGATAATAACATATGTTGGCTTTGAACCACTCATTGTTAATATCTCCAGAGTTTAGTTGGCCAGGAGGTGAACATTATGTGTCGAAAATGTACTATGACAACAAGTTGTAATAGTTTGATTTAGTGGATTTCATACCTTAACTACGAAATGTAGCTGAAACCAACTTTGAACTAGACGTGTGAGTCAACCGTTATATTTTGATGACTAAAATACTATTTTGCGGTTGACATGGCAAGTGATTGTCTTAAAACAACGTCGCTTTGGTTATGTTGTACACAAACACAAAATGATGTTTAGATCTTTTCCGTTAGAAAATCGATTTTTTGCATGAAGTTTCTCGTACGCACCACAACCAAAACAACGTCGTATTAAACCAACCACTTGCAATGTCAATCGCACAGTGGCATCTTAGTCATCCAAATTTAAATGTTGACTCACATCGTCTAAGTCAATGTTATTTTCAGCTAACTATAATAATTTATGTATAACTTTATAACGGTTTGGATTGAAAAATGTGTTATGTACATTTTATCAATCTTCTTATCTCTTATCTATAAATTCTTCCGATTTATTTTAAATGTTTTTAATGATTTTTCTATTTTTATTTTTCTGTTTCTATTTTTAATCAAAAGGGGAATTTGTTGGATAGAATATTTGATATTATCTTGAAGTTCAATCATAATTATGTGTGAATAAATTATTTTTGGAAGACAAAAGCAAGAGTTATATAATATATTTGATATAGTTTTTTTTTTGTTATCATATAACATATATTAATTAAAAAAAATTATGATTTGTCGTCCAATCAAATTCTAGCATATCATATTAGTTTTTTTCTTATCTATATAATTTTATTACATTTCATTAAAAAGTTCTATCTAATGGAATATCCCAGCATTTTAATGATAAGATATAATTTGGTAGACCAATCAGATGTAATTTAATGGGAAGAGATTTTAATTTTTTAAAATGGAAACAAATTCGGGTTTTCTATAAACCTTTTGAGTAATCTAAATTCCGGTTTAGAAATGATCTTGAATTGGTAAACTATCTACAAAAAAAATTCCATTTCTATTTCGTATAAAATATTTTGAAATCTTATAATCAAGTATATAATATACCAAGTATATAAAGATTCTACAAGTTTAAGAACACATAAAATAGTTACGAAGATAAAAATTTCTCATGCAAAACGGTTTTGGGACTATTTCTAAAGAAAGAGAAAGAGAGAACGATTCTTTGTGAGCTGTGTTGTCCCAAGAATCAAGGGCTCTCCAGATTTTACTCTTACACAAACCATATCTCTCTTCATTCTTCTTTCCATTTCTCTTATTCACAATCTTTCTTTTCCTTATTTTCCCCCGCATTTTCCGTTTTCGTCGAACCATTCTCTATCTTGCAGTGAGAGAGAAACAAAATCCCAACTTTTTTGGCCTCTTGAATCGTAAAACTCTTCTACGTTTTTGTGTTTGTTTGTTGTTCTTTCTTCAAGAAAGTCACAATCTTTTAGGGTTTAGAAGAAACCCTTTTGGTTTCTTGCTTCAAAAACTTAGCTTTCTATTGAATCTCTCTGGGTAATAGACCTGAAGATTCCTGGGTTTTGATGCTTAGGGATCAATCAGGATATATAAAGATTTGGTTTTTACGTAAGAACATGTGTTGAATCATTGTTATAAAGTTAGTAGATTGTGGAACAAGGCAGATTATTATGGGCTGCATTTGCTCAAAAGGAGCAGCAGAAGATGAAGAAGGTGTTGTTTATCATCGTGAGAAAGCAAATGAGTATTGGAACAAATCTTCTTCTGTTCAATTGATTGCTCCTCTGCCTTCGAATAAAGACGATTTTTCGCATAAAGCCGTAGATGGAAGCTCTGGTGGTGGAAGAAGAGCGAGTGGTTTAATTGTTCCTATTGATGATAGTCATGATGGTAAGACTGTTATTGTAGAGAGACCTTCAAGGTCTCAACGAGGAAGGAGAGTTTCGGATAATGGGAAAGGAGGAGGGTTGATTATTTCGAATGTTCCGCGTAGCGCAGAAGCAGAGCTTATTGCAGCTGGTTGGCCTTATTGGTTAACCTCTGTTGCTGGTGAAGCTATTAAAGGTTGGGTTCCGCGACGTGCTGATTCCTTTGAGAAGCTTGACAAAGTTAGTCTCTTTCAAATTTCATTTGTATAAATTATCTTGGATTGGTTTTAGTGGATTGTAATGATATGAAAATTGTGTTTGCAGATTGGACAAGGGACTTATAGCATTGTGTATAAGGCGCGGGATCTTGAGACGGGTAAAATAGTGGCGATGAAGAAGGTTAGGTTTGCGAATATGGATCCAGAAAGTGTGAGGTTCATGGCTAGAGAAATCAACATTTTGCGAAAACTCGACCATCCAAATGTTATGAAGCTTCAGTGTCTTGTCACTTCAAAGCTATCAGGTAGCTTGCATCTTGTGTTTGAGTATATGGAGCATGATCTTTCAGGTTTGGCTCTTAGGCCTGGTGTCAAATTCACTGAACCACAGGTACTTTCAAAAAGCTCGAATAACCTTCTTGTGTTCTCTGGCCAATCAATCAACTCACTAGTTGTTTTGTGTTCAGATCAAGTGTTTTATGAAACAACTGCTTTGTGGACTTGAGCATTGTCATAGCCGTGGAATCCTTCACCGTGACATCAAGGGTTCGAATCTTTTGGTAAACAATGATGGAGTTCTCAAGATTGGAGATTTCGGTCTGGCGAGTTTTTATAAACCAGATCAAGATCAACCGCTGACTAGCCGTGTAGTCACCTTGTGGTATAGAGCCCCTGAGCTTCTACTGGGATCTACAGCATATGGACCCGCCATTGATCTCTGGAGCGTTGGTTGCATTCTCGCAGAACTCTTTGTAGGTAAACCAATCATGCCGGGAAGAACAGAGGTGAGTTTTCTAATCAATACTGCCTCAGCCTTTGGTACCATTGACTTCAACTGATTTTCATATACAAAAAATTTTCGTCAAGGTGGAGCAAATGCATAAGATCTTTAAGCTGTGTGGTTCGCCATCTGAAGAGTTCTGGGAAAGGACAAAGTTCCCACAGGCGACAAGTTACAAACCGCAACATCCTTATAAGCGAGTCCTTCTAGAGACATTCAAGAATTTACCATCTTCTTCTCTAGATCTCCTTGATAAGCTTTTATCTGTAGAACCAGAGAAAAGATGCTTCGCTTCTTCGACTCTACTGAGTGAGGTAGTAGCCTTCTTTTTCTTTATTAACATTCTTGATCGCCTCCCGAAGAATACTGATAAATGATTGTCTCATTTACCTCTCCAGTTTTTTACAACGGAGCCGCTCCCTTGTCACATATCAAGTTTGCCTAAGTATCCGCCAAGCAAGGAACTCGATGCAAAGGTTCGAGACGAAGAAGCAAAAAGGTGAGTATGCAAAGAGAGCGTAGATTCGTCCACCAATGATGCAGGCGAGATTCCTAAACAAACTTTTCATTTAAAAAATTGCAGGAAAAAAGCTGAAGCTGTGAAGTGGCGTGGACACGAATCTGTGAGACGAGGTTTAAGAGACTCCAAGATAACACCGGAGTTCATTGCTTCAGGGCATTCAAACGTCTCAATCACCACCCCTTCGTTCAAGAAAGAAAAACGCTTTATGGATACCAATTCAGTGATCCATCCAAGCTCTAGGAGCAATGTAGGTGAGGCGAAGACTAGCCGGTCCAATAACGTGCCTGCTACAATGGGAGACTACTTAGCTAGTGCTTCACAAAAGGAGAATATAGTTTCAAGAGAACCCACAACGGTAACTAAGTTGATTCAACAACTCATTAACTCTTCCTTTTTCCCCACTTTAGATAATGGACTCTAAGATGTTTCTTATTGTGGTTTCAGACATACATGCGAAAGAAGAACAGAATGCACTATTCAGGTCCATTGATGCCTCCTGGTGGTAACATCGAAGACATGATGAAAGAACACGAGAGACAAATCCAAGAAGCTGTACGTAAGTCCCGCCTTGAGAAATCTGCAACAAATAAGAACAAAGATATCTCAGTCAAAGCATGTGCTTAGTGAAACATGAAACAAGAGAAACAAAATCAACACCTGAACATGGTCTTTGTACATGGCCACCTCTGTTTCATGCTCTGCTCTTTTCTTTTGGTTAGGGGAATCAAACACATGTGTATATCTTAGAACAACTGTTTCAATTTATTAGATAGATGTTTTTTAGTTATTAACTGCAGAATACATAATAGGAGTTTTCACAAAGCAAATCTTTATAAATAGCATAGAAGTGCATTATTCTCACATACAAAGCCAGCGAAGTAAGCTATACAAATTGGCTTAATAGAGAAAATATATATAAGTTATAAAAAGCCTCAAGTTCTCTTAGAAAACTAGCATCAATTTCAAACATAACTTCTAGATATCCAGCTTGGGTTTCCGGCTAAGCTCGGAGTATTGACCGCCCATTAACTGTAAAATCTCTTCCCACAAGTTTTCCGATGAAGCTCCGCATATCAAATCTGAGCTGCAAGCAGCAACATGCCAATAATCTGATTTGATCTCTTCTCTGAGCTGATCCAGCTGCCAACCGGCGTAACCAACAAAGAATCTAAACTCCTGTGGCTTAAGAATTCCCTTCTTTACAAGCACTGCAGCTTCATCCAAACTGTTTCGAGTACCAAAGTTAAGCCCGGGCATGACTTCTTCAAACCCAGGTATCTTAGTTTTATCGCCGGTTTTCAACAAGAACATGCTTGCTTCAAGAGGTCCACCAAAGTACAAAGAACATTCAGAAAACGTTGTAGCAAGCTCGGTTTTCGTTGATTTCATATGCTTGATGTTTTTATGAAGTGGACGGTTGATAACAACTCCAAACGGCCCTTCTTGTGGATGTCTAGTTCCTGCTCTAAGAAGAAGCACAACCGTTCTCGCAAATGTTCTATAACCATCTAGCTTCTCTGTAGCAACTAGAACACAACCAGTCTCAGGAAACGGAATCGGATGCGCCCATTTCAACCCTATCGGTTCCGATTCATTACCCTCAGCTTCCGCCTTTTCTTCCTGTAACATCATTTAACCCGTAAACCCTATTGACTAATATCTAATAAGTTTCCCAACAACAATGCCTAACTTATTACCTGCTCTTTCATAAACAAGTTCGCTCTAAACTCTCTCCAATCCGCCTTTAAACCGAACGACTTCGGAGCCGCGGAATCGCCTGATTTGTTACCATTAGTAGGCTTGTTTTCCTGAGAAGCATCTCCTTCAGCAACAAAAACAGGTCCACAATAAGAATCACAGAGTACACTAGTGTCAAGAACAAAGCCTAAATTCCCCAATTTCTAACCAAATCAATCAAATTCAACAAAACATTACCAGAAGCAGAAGAATCGTCGTTACTCTTCTTAGACGAAGCTCGAACAACCAAAGAACGATACGGAGAAGGAGAAGAAACCTTACGTTTGAGAAATCTAAACTCCAATTCACCGATTTTCCCAGAAATTGATGATGATTTCACGGACGATGAGAAGAAAGGGTTTCGGATCGTAACGTCCTTTACTTGAAGAGTACATAGATCCATTGAAGGATATACTTTGGAAGATCCGATAAGAGAGAGTGAAGTGATGAGTTTGATTCGTTTAAAGAAGCGATGAGAAGAAGAATGTTGAAATCTGAGGATATCTGTGATTGATAGGAACAGATTGGGAGAAGACAAAATAAGAAAGAGAAAAAAAAAAAGACAACGAAAGGAAAATAAAATTAAAAAGGAATATGCTTTTTATTTATAGCGAAATTCTTGGGTTTTGATTGGTTACAGATAATAATCGCACCAATATTGTTTTGGTTTTGAGTTTATTGCCCATAATTATTTCTGATCGGTTCTGTCTGTACTACTAACCGTCACCGATCACGAACGAAATCAGAAAATGTTTGGTTCGGTTAAAGAAACATCATTACAATAATATCAGACTCTATAATTTAGTTTTAGGTGGTTTTAGACTGCTCTGAAAATGAGAGTCTATAATTTAGTTTTAGCCGTTTCGAGGAAAGATTGTTGAATCTATAAAACGTAATTCGTATTACTAATTTACGTTTGTTTACGTAAAAAGTTCAGACTTTCATCAACATTTTTATTTTGTGTTTATGTGGATTTGATCAATAGATAAATGTCTTCCTTAATCTTATCAGCTTGGCTCCGTGAACAAATTTTTTTTAATCATGATGAACAAAAAAAATAAATATCCCAAAAGAGGACAGAAAATTTTTACGAAAATTTAATCTAGTTAAAATCAGTTGTTACATTGATATAATCGAACTTGATGTATCTATTCTATTAATTGGGAAGGATTATAGAATATCTAACCTCAATAAGGGTAAATAATTACAATTGATGCCATTAGAATTTTAGTATTTCAAGTGAAAACAAAGAATTTCGTCGAGGGGTATAATTGACATTTGGGACTCAAAAGGACGCGGATCCTGGACCTTTAGTCGGATATCCAACTGGTAAATGACACGGATCACGGGCAAACTTCGGTAATACACACGGAACCTTTTATTGGTTGCATAATGGGCTTTATATTAATTGGCCCATTATTAATATCAGGCCTTTATGTAACATATCTACAAACATTAAACAGAAAATTAATTAGATAACACGTAAATAAATCTATTTCCATATCAAGCACAACTTAAAATTCGCAAAATCATTTATTCTATATAACAACCCGATTCAAAAATATTCCGTTGATTAAGGATAAACTTATTCCAATATTATAACACGTAAACAAATCTATTTCCATATCAAGCACAACTAAAAATTCGCAAAATCATTTATTCTATATAACAACCCGATTCAAAAATATTCCGTTGATTAAGGATAAACTTATTCCAATATTATAACACGTAATCAAATCTATTTCCATATCAATCACAACTTAAAATTCGCATAATCAAAGATACAAAAATTTTCCAAATCCGAACAACTCCATATAATTTCTTATCTACACACAATCTCCGGGATGTTATCAATTAAAATGTAATTAAATAATTTTCGTGTACTTAATAAATCTTTCCATATAAACGAAAACAATTAACTTCCTTTTTTTATTTTATATTTAAAATCATAAAATCTTTTCAAATCCATATTTGTTCTAAATCATACCCAAAAAATAGCATAATATCAAATATATACCTAAAATATTCTATTCGCATTTATCCTCTTCCCCGATAATTCTCTAAAACCTAGAAAATTATAGCCGTATTTCGATTAGTATAAATATATGATCCAATGTTATGTTAAACTCACCTTCTCAAGCTTTCACTTTTTCTCTACACAATCCCACTAAGAAAATGGCAGCTGAGCTAGCATTCACCAACCTTGCTGATGTCAAGCCTTTCAAAACAGAATGGAGAATTCAAGTTAAAATTGTCCATTCGTGGACTCAATACACTCAATACACTGGAGAAACCGTCGAAATGATTCTTGCTGATACATCTGTAAGTAATTAAGGATTGTTTTACATTCTGATACGCAAATATATTTTCATGTTTACAAAGTAAACCCTAAAACCGAGAGCTATATCTGTTAATAGTATATATAGTAAACTCGATTACACCTCTCAGAACTCACAATCATTCATGGCTTTTTTTTTTTTTTTTTTTTTTTGGGCAAAAACAAAGCTTTACTTTATTTTCATCTTCTTTTATCGTTAAGAAAATGGCTTCTAAGAAAAGAATTTTTTTTTCACATGGACATCTCTATGTTGCAATCTGTAGAATAACTTCTAAGAAAGGACTAAGAAAGGACTAAAGGTGCTCATAGTAGACAAAGACGGGAAACCACAGAAGCAAACGATGAATGTGGTGTTCAAAGAAGTGTTTAGCAGAGAGTTTATGTAAAGAGGTAACAAAAATAATTATTGCCTCAGTGATTTAATTTTGGTTCTGATCTAATTCACTGCATTACTATAACTATATTGTTATATTATGTATAGTTAAAATATGGGACCGACCAGAGTCAGAAGAAGAGAGAGTCAACGAAATCATCTTAAAGAGAAGCAATCGTTTTACATTTTATTGCATACATTCAATATTCTTATCAGTTTCTTAAACTAAGTGTTATTTTACTCATTTCATTCCTCCAGAATGTATAGCATTATATTTTAAACAGAATTACTGAGGGAAAGAAAAGTTTCCGGTTTTATTATGTAAACTAGAAAATTTTCAATAGCAATCCAAGATGAATACTGATTACCAAAAAACTTTTCAGAAAGTTAAGTAGTTTTGATATTATATACTACTTTCAATTAAACATACTAAGACGAATTTTAATATTATATATATACTACTTTTAGCTAAACATACTAAGACAGAACTATAGTGTAAAAATAATTTTCTCACTAACCTTTTAAATATAGATTTCTGGATATCTCCAATGCCAAAATATCTCTTCCCTTCTCCACATTCTTATGTTACTTGCAAAGTATGCTTCACCTTAAAAACATTGAACTTTGTTATTAACATATTTGAATTTTTAAAGTCTTAGTAGACAATACCATAAAGTTTATATGAACTAAGTTAACTTAAACTCAATAACAATAAATCTAATAATCAAAAGTTTAAAAATTGAGATCTCACTAACCTGCAACATATATATATTTCTAAATAACTGTAGCTCCTCCAGAGTCTCATATTACTCGCAAATCATCCTTCACCTTAATACATATACAACGAACATTGTACTTTAACATACTATGCCAAAACAATCTATATGGTGAATATGAAGTAACTAAACTTATAAAGTCAATAACATTATGTAAATCTGCAAATCTCACTAACCTTTTACATATATACTGCATAATTTAATAACAAAATCACATTCTCTCCTCCATGGTCTTATGTTTAACGCAAATCACCCTTCACCTGTATAGACAAAAAAAACAATGCTCCGGACACAGTTTATACAAACTATACAAAATTTGTTGGTTTAAAACTTATAATAGCTTAGTATTCTCGAGATTAACTAATCAACTTCTTTCTCTAAATGAAGATTAAAAATTACTGTAAATCAAATTCGTATTCGTATAAAAATTGAGTGAAAACCTTTTTTCATAATCAATTGACAATTAGGATAATTACCCATATAACAGTCGGCTTCTTGACAATCCGTTGCGAATCTATACAATTAAAACTGAAAATTTAAAAGATTGCAATTGAATCGACATATACAAAAATGTAAAAGTGTAGATCTGAATAAATAAAAAGCTTACTTCTTCATAGGATTCACGAATTGAACAAGTACAAGTATAAACGGAGACGAAGTAATGATGTCTGTAAAAGAATTTCGCATTTGATTTCTGAGAAACCAACGATGTTCTTCATTTTGTTCGGTGAGCTTTTTTTTCTTTTTTGGTAATAAGACAACGATGCTCATATTATTTACATTGATATCATTATTGGATAAATACAATAAAAACCAAACGAAACAACAAGAAAATGTTGTCTGGTTGTTTAATACTTGGGCCTAAATAAATATGTCATTCAGCCCATTCAAAGGTTAAATCGTAAAATTATGATGGGCCAGTTAATTAACATATTGTTTTACAGGATTTCTGAAATTTATTTCCAGATTAAATTAAACTATAGATTCACACATTACCATATAGTTATAGTTATTATTATACAATTATAAGAAATTCAGTTTCTTTAAAAATTAAACTTTATATTATAACTATTACAATAAAATATCTTCTGTAGTTAGATTTTTTTTTTTGTTCACTAAAACAACTTTTACTTTTCCGAAAAAACACATACAAACTTCTGAAATAAATCGTAAAGAATTGTATAAATTCACATTCTATTCTAAATTTGTAAAGAATCAGACATTAAATAAAATTCAGTTTACCATCATTCAAAACACCAAAAAAAAATCTCACTAAATCTACTACATATATGATATATATCCTATTGTAATATTCACATACAAAAAAAATAAGAAGATAATATATTTTGAAAAACAGGTTGTAAACAAAATGAATTAAACATTTACACCCCGCACGTATGTGCGGGAACATGTAATTTGGATAATTGTTCTTAAGTCTGTATAAATATGATAATACGTTTATCTATATCATATAATACAATCTTTTATTATAGATATACACCAAACTTATCTCTCCAAAACCCGACTATTTTTATACAAATTATACGCAAATACCTATTTATCGACCGATTAGATTTGTTCACCATACCAATATATTCAATCATCTAATCTGTCACATAAAATTTATTTTTAGTAGTCATACCAATTTCAAATTGATACACACACATTCAAAACCTATATGACATAAGTTTATACTCAGAAAATCGTATGTTAACAAAACTCGCACGTACGTGCGGGTCCGGATCTAGTATAGTATAAGAGATAGATTTCATGGAATCAAACATTGAAACTCATGGTGGGAAATTTACAGAATTGCATTTTCCCTCCAAAATCAAAAAATCTGAGAATTGTGTTTTCCGCCATTATCACAAAATCGTATTTTCCCACCAAAACTATAAAATCACGATTTTAGCGGGAAAATTACGGAATTGTGTTTTCTACTCAAATCGGAAAAATCTCATCAACTCTTTGATATACTCTACATTATATTTTAAAATTTTAATTTAGTACTATATGTATTTAAAATGTTTTTTCTAGTGTTTTTTAATTTTAATAGGAAAATAATTTTTTTAATATAATTATTTTAATGAAAATAGATTTTTAGTACCATATGAAAAATGTATTTAAAATTCTCTTTGAATTGAATAAGAAAATAATTTATTAAATTTAACTATTTCATGAAAATAGAAATTTCTAGATGTAAGAAAACATTAAAAAATTAGTTGTAAATGTAATTTTAAATCATTAAGATATGATTAAGATGAAAACATGTCCTTTTTAGTCATTTTAATACAACATACATCAAGATGCATATGCAAATTTAATCAAACCAACGAAGCTTTATTGAAATGCTTCATCTAGATGGATTACTAAATTCAGAAACGACCAACATCCAAATGATGTATCTGGATGGATCATCTAGATGCATTATCTAGATTTTGTTCTTTTTCATGGTATTAGTGATTAGTCATGTCCACTAGGTATTTTATCAAATTGATGTATAATAAGTATATGTTACATTGTGCTTTGTTTTTGAAGAGCTACAATATATTTTAAATTATTTTTAGTATATATATATAACTATTATTTAAATAATTTAAGATTACTCTTTTCTAATTCAGTGAGATGTCTACGAAAAACATAAAAAGATAATTGTGTGGAGCAAAAAGAAGGAGAAGAATTTGATAAGTTTTAAGTGAATACCTTGTTCAAGTGTGATAAACTTGTATAAATGAGTATATAAGCATATCTTGAGCATTAAATGTGCAAAAAAAAAGTGTGAATGAAAGGAGGAGAAACTCATCTTCTTCTAAGTGCTTGCATTTCTCTTATTAATCTTAGTAGAAACTGAATCAAATCCTTCACCAAAATATCATTAGTTATGCTTAGCTTCAATTTGAAGGTTTCTGGTTTATTTCCATTTCGTTTGAATTTAGTTCCCCCATACTCACTGACTGAGTTCTATGGGATATCTTGTAAAAATAATATATACACGTATATTATGTAATTTTGATATGAAAATTAAATAAAATTACTTTATACAATATATTAGACTTGCTAATTGAGAGTATAAGGTCAGGTAATACTATGTACATGTTGGGTTAGAAAAAATTTATATGAAGAGTATATATATTTAGTTTTTTAATAAAAAGACTAGCTAAATTTTTTGGAATGAGTTCGAGTAATTACGGGCAATTTATGGTAATTAACAGTAGTTCTTGATATTTTTAAGACATATCAAATACTTTTTTTTTAAAAATATCAGGTCGTTGCCTTTTGCCCTGGTTGGTCCGTAGCGAGACCAACTTGAATACCCTCACGTATCCCTCATGCAAGACGATTGGGACATACTTAGATCCTGACGAAGATGTAAGCTATACGGGATTCACTGTGAGCTCTAGGGCGGACACCATAACCTATCGGTATAAGTTAAATAAGTAAATTTGCTTCATTTTTTTCGATCCAATAAATTATTTACATAACAAATTATATGTGTAGGTTAATGCAAGGGAATATCAATTACCCTTGTTAACGGATGTTCGTGATATCATGATTGACCTTGGTCAATCGATTGTCTACGTCGAGGAAAGGTTAGATGGTTCATGGGTGGAGAGCATGAGATTGATATGAATATGGGTTACTCGGGTAATCTATGACATATTTTTATTATTTTTCTATTACTACTAAGGGTTAGTCTGGGATACGCGCGGATATATATTTAACAATTAAGTTATTTAACATTAAAAAACTTTATCTAAAATAAAATATATATTGAAAAACCTTATCTAACATAAAAAAAAACTTAATAAACAATTATGTTATTTAACATTAAAAAAAAAACAGGACATACAGTACAATAATATAAAATTTTCTCAAGAAATCTTGATGCATCAAAAATATTATTTCCTCAACGATGAGAGAGCCATGTGGTACATATATCATTGTGCGACCATGGTTTTACACAAAACATAAAATTTGGTTTTAATTGAATCTAGTATATATTTTTTCAAGTAGATAAAAAAATGTTTTACATTTCAAATACAAATTGAATCTGTGTGGGCAAGCCTTGTTCGTTTTTGGCGTGATCCTAGATCTGAAAGGAGGAGTATCAACAGCAGAAATGCCCGATATCATGATCCTGATGGCACCGGTATACATAAACACCGTTCTGGCCAGACCTCTTACAAAGCCCGTGCCAGAAAGCATGTAAGTTAACCTTTGTTTTTTTGTTGTATACACACTTTTGCATATTGAACTGAAACTTAACCTCTGTTTTTTTTGTTGTAGTCTGAGAAGACCGGTGATTCAACTCCAGATCTTCTGGCAGTTCTTGAACAGACTCATCGCAAACCTGATGGGTCCTTTGTTGATGGCAAATCGGAGGAGCTATTCAAAGAAGTGTCATCGAGGATAGAGGAGCAAGAGTCTCAGCTATTCTCAGGGGATAATATGGAAAGCAGTGCTTCTGGCGGGTTGTCTGTTCATGCCAAGAACAAAATTTATGCTGAGGTATATTTTCTCTTCTCCAAATTCAGGTTCTGGCTTCTGTTATGTTATTGACTGTGCTGTTGTGCTTTTTTTTTTTTTTGTCTGTCTGATATTGATGCATATATGTTCACTGCCTTCTTATGTTATGTTTGAGTTAGACTTAAAGCCTGCATTATGTTCATGTTCACTGCCTTCTTATGTTCCAGTTAGACGTATATAAAGCCTGCATTATGTCTGATGCATTATGTCTGCGTTTGAATTGAGTGATTATTCTTGTTGTGGCTTTTTGATTGTTTTGTTTGTTTGTTTCAGTAGTTGTCTAACTCAAAAGGTTGCATGTCTTGTTGGCAGGTTGCTCCAAGGAAGAAAGGCAGGCTTTATGGGGCTGGATCATTGCAACAGGAGGCATCTTCAGCCAATTCTGGGCCAAGTAGTGAGGACCCGGTGGTTCTGTCGCAAAAGCTGGCCCGCGCTCAAGCTTGTATTGCAACTCAGGCAGAGAGGATGCATAGCTATGATGCGTATTTTGAGTACCTCGCCGAGAAGGATCCTGAGTTTGCTGCCAAGTTTAAACAGGGAAACCAGACCGCCACTACAGCTGCGACCGGAACAGAAGGTACCGAGACTGGAACCGGTGCGACTGGTGCGACTGGTGCCAGTGCCACAAGAACCAGTGCTGGAGCAGGATCCTCTTCTCCATCTGCAGCCTTTTAAGCTTATAACTTAGAATGTTTTTTGGTTCTGTTATTAAGACTTGAATTATGTTAAGACTTGACATGTTTTTTGGTTTTGTAATATTCTACATTTGGATGTATGTTTGCAATTTGAATTTGAATTATGCATTTCAATTTGGGTTCCTTTAATCAAATTAAAATCATCACAAATAAACAATAAAAACAGTAATTACGTAATTAAAATGCTAATTACGTAATTAAATAACGCTAATTACGTTAATAAAAAACTCTTAGAGCCTGGCAAATACGTCGCAAACTCATCGCAATAGTTGCTAGGGAATTGCGAGTGCCAACGTGTATCTCGCAAATCCCTCGCAGTATTGCTACCAATTTGCGAGGAACAACAAATTGGATGGTCCACCCAAATATGTACGGGTCACACATTGCGATGGAAAAAAACATCGCAAACTCCTCGCAATGTCTGCGAGGGATTTACTACTCAGTCTTTGCGGCTTATTTGCTACCGCACAAGTTTCTCGCACATTGCGTCTGATTTGCGAGGAATTATATTCGTCGCAATATTTACGAGGGAAGTGAAACGTATACAGATTTGCGAGACGGGATTTGCGAGGAAGTGACGTGTGTCGCAAATCCCTTGCAAAAGGCGATTTGCGAGGGATTACCTAGGAATTCGTCCCTCGCAAATCGCCTGTTTTCTTGTAGTGAAGCTATGATCATAATTCATAACTTTGAGTTGTTCCAGCTAGATGCTTCACGGGGCCATGCGGTTAAACACTGTACTAAGCAAGTGGCAATATTACTGAATAAAAATCAAACTAGTAAGTGGGAAGTGATAATGGTTAGTAAGTGGGAAGTGATAATGGTTCCTAACCAGATGAATGGGGCAGTGAACTTGGTTCATAAATTGGCCAAAAAGCTGTTGCAAGATTTGAAAAACTCTTCGTCTCTTTTGGTCGTAAAACGGTTTTACTAAAACCTTCGGAAAAAGGTTTGATGAAACAGAGGTAACAGAGGAAACATAGCCAGTGCTGGTTAGTGATAAGCCCACCGTAACAAGGTCTAGAAAAAATTTAGATGCATTTGGGCAGTGGACATAAGTAATTCGAAAAGATCATCACTCTTCTAGTCGCTCAAGCCCCAAAACTGGCAGTGAGTTACTTGCGGTTGCGGTTTCACCAAATCGGTTTAGAGGATTTGAACATGACAAGGATGAGGGTGATGTACATAATACTATAATGGAATGAGAGAAAAGGGAGAAAAAATGAGGTGAGATCCGTGAGGAAGTAGTGGAGTCAGAAGTAGAAGTAAAATGGAGTGGTTCAAGAATCTAATGGAGAGTTGGTCGTAGAAACTAGGCCAATTTAACTACTGCTCATGAATGATTCCTCAAGCTACTAAAAGTGATGTTGAATTTATTGATCTATTATTAGATAAGTAAAACGTTTCTAACCAAACAAAAATTGTGAGTTTATCGAATTAGGATCTTAAAGTTTGTTAGATTTATTTAAAACAAACGATAGTTTAGTTCTTAAGTAATTATCTCTCATAGTTAATTATGACATAAGAGAGCATGATAATTGAATCTAAGTAATTCAAATCCAAAACGAATCTTAATTTTTCAAAATTTCATTACTTGTTTGTATTTAAACTCCCTCATGATTTCTATTCTTAATATTGTTGTATATAATTATTTAATGGTATTTTTTTCAAAAACATTTATGAATGTTTAAAATATATGAATGTGTTTTTGGAATAGTATTATAATATATTGAATACACAATATTGCATGAGTAGGACTTATTACTAGACATGCCATTTTCCATTTTTATTTCGTTTCGGTTCACAATTTCTCACTTTATAAAAAATCGAAACCAAAAACAATCTATTCGGGTTTGGTTATATATATATTTAAAATTGGATAAAGAAAACCTGAATTTAGATTTCAATTCAATTTTGGAATCAACTTCTTGGTTTAGTTAAACCAAAACAAATTGGACACCCTTGAAGTTTTAAGCAAATGAAACATTTTTTATACCTAATAAAGACAAACAAATGGTGATGTTAATTCGGTTGACAAATATTATTGTTCAAGAAACAAAGAACCAAAGTTGTTAAATCAACATGGGTTGTTTAAAATACAAGGAAACAAAAAGTTGCAACCACCATGTTGGTTCCTTTTTAACACCTGTCTTGTTTTTGGATCACTATCAAATTCTTCTTCTCTTACAAGCATCAATTTTATAACCAGAAATCTCTCCCATTACGTTTCATATCTTCCAATTACCCTGATTATAAAAATAAATGTAACACATTATTTTGATACCAAAAAAATAGAAAACATTATAATATGGAAAAACAAATTAGTTAGTATATGTATTCACCACCAACTTCTGTTGTATTGGAAGAACAGCAACCTTAGTAGCTTTCATGTCCTCCTCAACTTCCTCAATCATTAAACCATAACCTCTCTATATTATATACACTTCTAACCATTATCAAAACATCTTCCTCATTCATCGATCCAAAAACCCAAATCGAAAAATCGATTCTTTGGTCAAGAAAAAATGAGAACCAAATCTCAATCTTCCCTTAATCTCAAGGTCATATTCATAGGTTCCTCAATCTTGATCTTGCTCATCATCTACTTAGCAAGATCAAACATCTCTTCCTCCTCCTCAAAGCCAATCTCCAAAACAAATCTCTCCCAAGAAGAAGAAGAAACTCAACACAAACCAGAAGGATGTCCAATAACGACACAACAATGCACAAAGATGCCACTTTCTTTATCCGATGCATTGGTTCATTACGTTACCAGTAACGTCACTCCACAACAAACATTCGATGAAGTCTCTGTCTCAAAGAGAGTCTTGGACAAGAAGTCTCCTTGTAACTTTCTCGTCTTTGGTTTAGGTCACGACAGCTTAATGTGGGCATCTCTTAACCATGGTGGTCGTACCTGTAAGTACTCTGTTTTTCCTCTGTTTCAACAGATCTAAAAAGTTTATCGTTTCTCATAAAAAAGGTTTTATTTTTCAGTGTTTATTGAAGAAGACAAGGCATGGATTGCGATAGTAACTAAGAAGTTCCCAAACCTGGAATCTTACCACGTAGTTTACGACACAAAAGTCAAAGATTCAGACAAACTAATGGAACTAGGAAGATCTGAAGAGTGTAGATCTGTGTCTGATCCAAGAAACTCAAAATGTGATCTTGCGTTGAAAGATTTTCCGGCGGACTTTTACGAGACGAAATGGGATCTGATAATGGTTGATGCACCAACTGGTTACCACGAAGAAGCTCCGGGGAGGATGAGTGCTATTTACACGGCGGGGCTTTTGGCTCGTAACCGTGAAGATGGTGAAACTGATGTTTTTGTTCATGACGTTAACCGTCCTGTGGAAGATGAGTTCTCGGCGACTTTCTTGTGTAAAGGTTATATGAGGGAGCAAAATGGGAGGCTTAGACATTTTACTATTCCTAGTCATCGGGCTCGAGCTGGACGACCTTTTTGTCCGGTGGAGGTTGATCGCCGCCGTTGATTTTGTCCTGAGGATATTATTGTGTGGCGGAGATCGATAGAGATTATTGTCGTTGGCCGGTAAATTGTTTCACCTAGTGGACTTTGATGGACTTGCTTAGCTGGCATTATTTTGGTTGTGTTTTTGGCTTTATTTGATTACGTTTTCAAGATTCAGTGCATTTACTGAAACGGTATATTAAAATAGTAATCTTCACATAATTATTTGTGATATCACTTTTATGATTAAAGAATTATCAAACATGGTTATTGGTCACATATTGTGTAGAAGAACATTTGTTTTTGCTGGATTGGCAAAAAAAAAACATTTGTTTTTGCTGATTTACTCCTTTGATTATGTTTTGCTTTTTCTTTTTTGTTATTGCACAAACATTTATTGGCTGATTACTTGATTTTTCAGCCTGAAACATGTGAAACTTTCACATCTTAGGTGTTGTTCGTTTCTCCATTCAGATGGTCCATCTGAATGGAGATAAATATTGATGTTCGTTTAGAGTAATTTAATAGATTAGTTGGATGGATCAGTCAGATGATTTTTAATAAACTCATCCCAGAAATGATCGGAATCCGGCTGAGTCTGATCGGTACAGTCAGCTGGAGCTGATTCAGTCCAAAATACGAAATGTCATATATACCCCTACCTAATTAAAAGAATTACACCAAAAGCTAAACCTACTTCTCCTTCATTCCTCGACCTTACCCCAACAGAGACGGCGGCTACTTCTACTTCATTCCTCGACATTCACTTCGCCGGAGCTCTTCGCCGGATCTCTCGCCGGAATCCACTCCTATCTCTTGCCTTAATCCACTCTTCCTTGTTTCTTCTCGTACGTTCTCTATCTCTCTCACTCTCCCCTTCTATCTCTCTCGTTTTGGACAAAGTTAGATTGATTGTTGTGGATCCGTTTCTTCTTGTGTACTTAGCTTTTTTAGTAGAAAATTTACTTTTGCGAGTGTTTTTGATTGGTGGGTATTGTTCTGTTTGATTGGATAAGTTTTTAAAATGATTGTCCAAGTTTGTATTTTCATAGACTACTCACACAGATCCAACTTATATTGAGCACAGTAGAATAATCTTATGATATTGAGCCAGATTGTGTAGAAGATTTGTCTATGCTCAATGATAACTCAATGATATTACTTGATGTGATGATATTACGTGGATTTGATGCATTATTAATATTAGATGAATCACCCAACTGAACAAACAAACAAAGTTTTAAAGAAAAATAGTTAGATGGATCATCCAGCTGAACCACCAAAAATGGAAACGAACATCATTCAGATGGATTAGTCAGATGGATCATTTGCATGGACCATTTGGATGAACATCCCAAATGAGCAAACGAACGGGGCCTTAATGTATTCTCAACATTAGATGGAACATGTTATTGGATATAATGTTTGCACGTCTGAAAACAATTTTTTCCAAATCAAATTTTTTGACATGAACGCGTTTTCCTTTCAAAGTGAAAAAGGATGGAAGAGCTATGCACTGTTGTTGGATTTTATCAAAATTGCCGTTTAGAAAGAATCATATATACCAAATATAACAAAGCATAACTAAAATCCTTCAACCTCTTCAAAAATTCTAATACCTCAGCAGTTTTTTTGATATATCCTGTTATAATTTCTCGAAATACTTTGATTTCAAAGAATAAATCAATTCCATCAATATCTGAACGTGATCCATGTTTAAGAGAAACTTCAAGATCTATACATGATTCTTTTAAGCTATCATCGTTTGCTGAGTTGAGTTTTCTCAGATCGAACAAAAAATAAAAAGTTTTCTCATAGTCTTGAAATTGGTGTAACCTTGTTTGAAGAGAAACTAGAGCTTGATCCATGATTTTGATGAAATACTCAATTCTAAACTTCTCCTCCTCGCTTAGAACTACACTTTCATCATCAATTTGTCTTGGCTCTTCATCAAAATGAGTTCTCCTTTTAGTAAGGTGCTTCCTTTTCACATGAAAGATGGGATCAATCTCCATAACAACAACAATTTGTGTGGCTTTAACTTTTGCTGCTTCAAAACCAGTTTCTCTATTCTTTTGGAAAAAAAAAGAGACTAACCCTTTTAGTTGAGTAATCGCTGCATCAATATCTATATCTTCACTTTGTAAAGTCTTGCTCACAATATTCACGACAGCCAAAATCTCATACCATATAACAATACCAAACAAAAACTCAAATCCTCCAATTCCATGAGTTTCACTTAGATCAAGCTCTAGTATCAAAGAAGAATCTTAGAAGTCTCACAATGTTCATCATCTATTCTAACAAACTTATCAATTCCAACATCCTCACCTGTTATATGATTCTGAGATTTTGTTTTTTTTTTTCAAATACCTGACCATAGAATTGGCTAGAGATTTTGTCAATTCTTCTTCTCTTTTTTTCTTTCTACGTTTTTTAGTTCCATCCTCATGTCTTGATTTCATCTCTCTGAAACTAAAAGATACAAAGACATAAATTAGGATAATTATAATCTTCTTTCATCTTTGTAACATCAAAACGTTGAAACTCCACGACCACAAAGAAACAAAGTGTTACATAACATAACTGTAAATTTGTAAAAACTCTAAAATCAAATAATTTTTTTTTTTACCTTTGATATAAAGCCAAGCTGATCGTTAATCGACGATAACAGATGAATATAAGCATCTGAATTTGAAAATCAATTAATTAAGTAGAAGAAATCGATATCAATTTACAAAGCTTCTTCTCTACTCTAGTTTACTCTGGTAAATCTTTATCCTCAAACCCTTATTAAGCATTATATAAAAAAAAAATGGGTCTCTATATTTTGAGGCCCCATACATATATATCATAGAAATATGTCACGGGCCGGGCCTGGCTCCAAGCTACAAAAAAAAAGTTGTCAAAAACAAAACGGAAATTTTGATAAAATCCAACAACAGAACGTAGAGAATCTATCAATTCAAAAACTCCAAGGTCCAAACACATCAATCGTAAAGAAAAAAATCAAAAATCAAAAACTTGACATGTGCGCTTCTTAGACTTATGTGATTCTTGTGACGATCTTGGGTCTTGTTTCAGGTGGTCATCCTCAACATTAGATGGAACATGCTATTGGATTAATGCTTGCGTGTCTGCAAGGAATTTTGCCCAAATTAAAATTTTTTTGACATGAACATTTCCTCTTCTTCAAGTTAAAGACAACATACTTGGGAGAGCTTTGCACTGATGTTGGAATTTATAAAACTTGCCGTCGGAAATAAGCATATAAAATGAATATAACATAACACAACCAAAATACAAATCATAAACATAATAATAATAATAATTATATTAGTGTATCAGATTGGTTTACTATCAACTGAGAACCGAGTGTGGTTATCTCAGTTAACCGGAACTCTCCACTATAAATAGAGGGTTCTATTGTAACAAACTTTTCTTAAGAGAGTATAACAGAATTTCATTATCTTCTTCGTTTCTCTCTCGAATCTTTCTACAACTATCATGGTATCAGAGAGTTGAGTCAGAAAACTCAACAATTTCGATCAAAATTCTATGGATCTTCGAGGTTTTTCTTCGCAAATCTCATCGATTCTCTCGTTTTCACTTTCTTCTCCGATCAATTCTTCATAAATTCAGCTGAAAGATCTTGCGATGGTTTCCGTTGAGAAATTGCGGCGTCGTACTAGAAGATCTACTAAAAATCCAGCTGAGAAGACTCCAGATCGTGTTCATTCTTCACCGATTCCACCGATTTCACCTCCGATTCAACCAAATTTCGTATCAAGACCTCCGATTCATCCTTTACCACAGTTTGACTTCACGGATGCTCATTATTCGCCATTTGCTCTGTCAAACAGTGATAGTCCTGGTAATACTCTAGTCTCTGAGGTACTTGATGGATCTAATTTCTCGTCTTGGAAGATTGCGATGTTTGTTGCTTTGGATGCTAAAAACAAGATTGCGTTTGTTGATGGTACTTTACCAAGACCTCCTGAATTCGATCCTAGCTTTCGTGTATGGTCTCGATGTAACAGTATGGTTAAATCTTGGATATTGAATTCTGTCACCAAACAAATTTACAAGAGTATACTGCGTTTTAATGATGCTGCAGAAATTTGGAAAGATTTGATTACAAGGTTTCATATTACGAATCTGCCTAGATCTTATCATTTGACTCAGCAGATTTGGGGATTACAACAAGGTTCTATGAGTCTTTCTGAATACTATACATCATTGAAAACATTGTGGGATGATTTGGATGGTGCTAGTTGTGCGGATACTTGCCAGAATTGCAAATGTTGTGTAGCTACTGCGTCTAAGGCTGATCATGCCAAGATTGTGAAGTTTCTTGCAGGGTTGAATGAATCTTATGCGACTATACGTAGTCAAATTATCATGAAGAAAACAATTCCTGATTTAGCAGAAATTTACAACCTCTTGGATCAAGATCATAGCCAAAGGAGTATGGTTACTGTTACTAATGCATCTGCATTTCAAGTTGCAGCTTCTTCTAATGAACAGTTTGCTGTGAATGTTACCCGTTCTTACCCTCCTAAAGCACCTAAAGTGACGTGTTCTCACTGTGGTTACACTGGACATACGACAGATACTTGCTACAAAATTCATGGTTATCCATTGGGATTTAAACACAAGCAGAAGAATGTTGTACCACCAGAGAAATCAAAGCCTGTTGTTGCTAATCTCGCTTTGACTGATGGGAAAACAATGAATACTAAAGGGATTGGACCAGATGGTATTGCTGAATTGGTAGGAAACATGTCAAAGACTCAAATACAAGATGTGATTGCCTATTTCAGTACTCAGCTACATAATCCTGCACAACCAATTACTATTGCCTCTGTTGCAAGCACTAGTGATAATGATGGTTCTGCTTTTAATGGTATTTCTTTTTCTCCCTCTACTCTGTGGTTGCTATGTGTTTTGACAACCTCTAGGAAAATGTTAACTGTTAATACTTGGATCATAGATAGTGGTGCTACTCATCATGTTTCTTTTGACAGAAATTTGTTTGAAAGCCTATCTGATGATTTGAGTAGTGAAGTAACACTACCTACTGGTTCTAATGTCAAGATAGCAGGAGTAGGGATTATTAAGTTGAATGAATATATCACATTATACAATGTGTTGTATATTCCTCAATTTCGACTTAATCTTCTCAGTGTAAGTCAATTGACTAAAGATTTGAAATCAA